GCTGTGGGTCTGACAGGCCATGCCCTCTGCCTCCGGCCTGCCCACGGAAGGGCCCTGGAGCCGACAAAGGCATCTCTCCAGATATTTTCAGCTTGACCAGGGCTGACTCAAAGGACTCCCATCTCCCTGCTCAGCCCCAGAGACAGCAGGAGGAGACACACAGGGTGGTCCCCACCCTGTCTCAGTGACCCCCTGCACTCGCAGCCGTGAGTGGGCAAGTGCAGAGTCCCACAGCAGCCCTGCTGCAGCCAGAGCCCCTGGGCAGGGACAGCCCCTCAGTGCTGCCTGCCAAGCCCCTGCCCCACAGGGCAGTGGGACATGGACTGTGGGATCTCCGTCAGGGAGTTGGGGGCGAGTCTGGCAGAGAGAATGGAGTGCACAACCCTCTCCCTCAAACTTCAGGGCTGCTCTGCCTGCCCTGGGCTCCCTTACACATGCAGACAGACACACAAACCTCCCGCACACACACTCTTACACACATTCACACCCCTCCCACTAGGGCAGTCCCTCCCACTCTGGCCACCCCCATGGCAGCACTTGCTGCAACCCCACATTGGGAAATGCCAGGGGGCCCCCATGGACAGCCCAGACTCCCATCTCACCCCAAAACCTCCCTCCAAGGCTGCTGGGGTGAACTGGCTAGCACAAACACCCTCCCCCGGCACCTCCCATCTTCTCCTTGGAAGAAGCCTTGGAAGGGTTTCTTTTTTTCTTTTTTTTTTTTTTTTTAAACCAAAAAAAACCCCCAAAATTATTATTTTTCTCATCGTTTCCCCTAACATCAATGGAGGCACCTGCTCTAGTGATAACACATTGAAAGAACAGTATCGTACACACTGTCTACAGCGCGGAAATGTACAAGCACGAGGTACACGAACCCGAGGGGGGGAGTGGGGACAACAGCACACAAGATTTACATTGAGGAGGGAGGTGGGGGGCTGATCCCCCCGACCCCTGGAGGGATTAGAAAGGAAGTCTGCAAAGTCTCTCCTTGGTTTGAAGCTCTCCGAACTGGATATAAAATGAGACTTCCAAGAGAAGAAGCCTGTACAAAAGTCAGGACAGGGTGAGAGGGTTCAAGACAGGGAGGAGGGAACTGGCAAGGGGGCTGAGGGGGGCTTTTCCCATTTTTTTTCTTTCTTTTTTTTTTAAACTTACAATTTTAATAATATTATTTTTTTTTCTTAAAAAAAGACAAAAGTAGGAGGTACCAGGAGCCAGGGTTTGCAAAGGGGCCCCAGGCAGACTCACGCAGGGTGGAGGGGAACACAGGGGCTGCAGGCAGTGAGCAAGGGCACTGGCTGCTCCAGCAGAGCTGCAGGTCCTCCGTGTCCCTCCAGGCCCCCCGCCACACACTTCCTATATACAGAGTCCCCCTATGGCCGTGCTGCGCTTTCACTCTGGGGAGCGAGGGGAACAGGAGGGTGCAGGAGAGTGGGAAAATACGATGGGGCCCTATCCTCAACACCACCCCAGCGCTGCAGGATCTGACGCCAGCCGGAGGAGGTTCTGTGGCAGAACCCGAGGCATAAGGACGGGTTTCCATCACTGCTCCCCCCCCTCACCTAGCCCGAGGCTGGACTGGGGATGTGCAACCCTGCTGCAGGTGGCTGCTCAGCAAACACCAGCCATAGAACCCGGGCAGGAGGAGGGTCTCGGGGCTGTGCCAAACCCCGACACGTGGCATCTGGTAATGCCAGCTGCTGCTAACACCTCCCGCCTAATTCCCCCCACTCAGCAGGGAGGGGTGGGGCACATCGGGGTGGGGATGAGAAGCTCTCTGGGCAAGAAGCAGGGAGGAAAAGAGAAGGGGGAATAACGAAGCTATGGCCCCGGAAACCCACCCCTGCCCTGGGGTCCGTTGTGGAGGCAGGCGTGGGGGTGCGGGGAGGCGGCGGGGAGAGAGGGCTGGGGGCTGCCTGCCTGGCACGCGCCCCAGGCCGTGCACCCCATAATCCGCGCGGCGCCGGAGTGCCCCTGGGACCTTGCCACTTCCCAGTCACTCTCCGTTGCAAATGTACAGGTAGATTGGTTGGGACTGAGTCCACGGGGCGGCAGGGGGGCTGTTACTGCGACGCCTGTGACGTGGGGTTCTCTGACTTGCTCTCCTGGCTGGAGGGCGGTTTGCTGTTCCAGGGGCTGTTGGCCCCCAGCGCCGGCGAGTTGTTGAAGCTGTCCTCGTCGTCGATGCCGTTGGCGGCGTCAAACTGCGTGTTCTCCAGCCGGGTGATGAGCCGCTCGTCCTCGTCCCCAAACTCCCCCCCCATCAACGTGGGCTCGCCTACCACCATCACATCCTGAAAGGGGAGACGGTCCCGAAACATAATCGAGGTGGGGGGAGCCTGGGCCGCCAATCTCACCCTCAACACTGCAGCCCCTTTCCCCAGCTGCAGGGCCACTTCCTCATCTCCTCCACAGGTCCCAAGCTCAGGCACTGTGGGGAACACCACATCCTCACTCCCTTGGAGGAGCACAAAGGAGCTACGGAAGGCAGCTGGGACACCCATTCCTTCTTCTTCCCATCACATGGAAAGAGCTGGGGGTGCTTGGACAGGCAGTCCCTGGGGGTCTCCCCCTAGCAACTCCCAGGGGCCGGGGCAGAGAACCCTCCCCTCCACCCCCAGGAAGGAAGAGAGAATGGAAACGGGATGCTTACAGGTACCTGACTGGACAGGGCAAAGGTGCTGGCTGGGCTCTTCTTCTTGCTGTTGCTGTTGTTGGTGTTTCCCCCGCCAGAGCTCATGGTGCTGCCCCCCGACATCTTCCTTTTCCGGCGCTTGCTGGGCTGCTGCCGTGCTGGCTCCGCTGGTGGAGGATGGAGACATATATGGTCAGTCCCAAACTCTTTTCTACAAACCCCACCTCTGCAAGGACCACTTCTCCCCTCTGGGCAGCATCACCACCCTACTCGCCTCCACAGCTCTGCTGTCCTCCCGGTGCAGGGGACAGGAGAGGCAGCGAGAAAATTTCCATCCCTGCTTTGCTTTCTACAAACAGCTGGCAGCCCCCAGGCAGGGAGCACTGGCTGCCCGCAGCCGTGCTCTGCCCCAGTGGGAAGGAAGAAGGAAGCCAGCTGCCTGTCTCACCACCCCCAGCCTCACAAAACGAGGCCAAGAACAGCTCTGGGGCTTGGGAGAAGTCTGTGCCGAGGGCAGGGCCCAAGCAGGCAGCCCCAGAGACCCAAAGGCAGCACAGCAGGCAGTGTGAAACTCACCAGGTGGAGCGACCATCCGCTGCCACTTCTGGAAGAGGCAAGTCTTGAGGCAGTCCCGGGGACTGAGGCTGTAGGTCTTGTGCCGTGACATGAGCTCCTGCATTGGTTCTAGGATTACGCAGAGCTGCAGGGAGCAGACAGACAGGGGGTTAGATCGCAATGCTCCGAGCCCCAGCAAAAACCCCTCTGTTAGGCAGCCATTTGCACTGCACCAACCCAAGCCACGCCGGGAGCCTGTGGGACACGGCAGACCCATTGACCCATGGTTCTCTGTAGCACCCCTGCAAGACTCCTTTTTCAAAGTCTGCCTCACTGTCTCCCCACACCCCAGGGCAGCCAAGAGCTGCATCCCCTCCTCTTCTGGCATGCTTACTCGGAGGTAGTTGAGTGTGGAGTTTGAGAGCCCACAGCGTGTGATGTTCTTGGACAACTGGTCCAGCATCTGGGGATCCTGTGCCTAGGAGCAAGAGGGACAGATGGCTCAGCTGCATCCTGTGCCCTGATCTGTGATGGGGGGACTAGGTTGACATCCCCCCAACCTGCACAGCAGCCTGAGTAGCTCAGCAGTGTCACTCGTGCCTGGGGGAGCTCCTGGAGCTGTACTCACATGCATGGCAAGGATGCTGCGGGGGATGAGCTCTCGATGCTGGCGGATGCTGAAATGCCACGTCTTTATCCTCATCATGTCATCAAACATGAACTCCAGGTAGAGCCGCCCCTCCACACATACCTGGGCAGGGCATAGGGTCAGGCACAGGCTGCTCCAGCCTCCCCCAGCCCAGATTCCCTGAGTAGCCATTTGCTGCACTCTGGACACCCTCCCAGTGGCTTGCCTCTGCCTCCCAGGAGACTCAACACAAGCCAAACCCACGAGCCCTGTGGGGCCACAGCCACCACGAGGGCACACCAAAGCAAGACGTGAGGGACAGCAGAAGCTGTAGGCACAGCCAGTACCTGGGTGAACATGGGCTTGCCGTGCTGGGTGACCATGGTGCACTGGTCACAGTCCAGCGAAACAAAGTTGTTGTGGAAGGACTCCTTGGGGTGCTTGAGCACGTAGTAGAGCTCTGTGGCCCCCCCTTCAAAGATGCTGCGGAAGTAACGGGGAATCAAAGTCCGGCCGATCGCTGGAGCAGAAGGAGGAAAACAAGGTCAGTAAACCTGGCTCACCCAGATGTGCCTTGGGACATACATGAAGAGGTTCCTCCTGTCCCTGCTGGCTGAAGACCGCTGACCTCCAACACCCTGCCCACATCCCCCTGAGCACACAACTCTCTCCTGCCAGAGGGCAATGCCCTGAGGAAGGAGGGCTCAAGCTGGTACTCACTGTATCTCTTTGGTCCATCCTCCAAGCAGAAAGTGATTGTTAGCATGGCGTCATCCTCAAAGAACTCTGTGGTGAAGGCGTCCCACCACAGATTGTCACATTCCTGAGGATGGTGGAGAGATACTTAATTTATAGGGAGGAGAGACAGACAGACAGACAGATAGACAGCCACTGGCTGCCAGGCACAGTAGGCATGCGCTCAGTCCGTGGAGGGCTGCGCTCCAATATGAGTGCTTGCAGATGGGGCTAGTAAGTCCTTATGGGACAAGGTGCTTGAGGATCTCCACAGTGGGACAGCACCCTGCAGCCAAGGGGATTCCTCCTAGAGCCAAGGCAGCTCATAAGGGCAGGCAGCACAGAGGACCCCACCCTCAAAACACACACCTGGAAGCATCCTCCAACCCCTGTCTGCCCCTTGCTGCCCCAGCTCCCTACCTCTGTCCAGTTCTGCAGCCGCTTGTTGAGCTCAAATATCCTGTAGTCAGTCTGGTTCCCGTACGGCGTGTGCCTCCTGCCCAGAGAGCACAGGAAGCCATCAGAGGGGAAGGCAGACACAGGGTGGGGAGGGGTCTTTAGCCCATGGTGGGGATACGCACGGCGTCTCCAGGGCTGGCAGAGTCCAAGCAATCCCCCCACAAGTCCCAGTCAGCAGTGTGCTGGCCCTGCTCAGCACACCCACCACAGGCACAAGTTCCCCTCCCCGCAGGATCCCCATCAGCCCCCCATGCTTACCCAATTCCAGGCTCCAGGTACGTTGGTGGGTACATAGGAGTAGGTCTAGGGGTGGAAAGAGATGCAGGCAGGTCAGTCTTAGTGGGGATCTCCCACCACAGCTCCCCCTTCCCCGGCTACAGCAGCAGGTGATCAGGATCGCTGGAGGCGAGACCCCACGCACAGTGCAGGCTGCACCCTGGCTACCAACATGTGACAGCCCCATGGGGCATCCTGTACCCCAAAACTGGGCTCTGATCTCACATCACTGGCTGCTTCACCCCTGGGACCTGGCCCACTGCTCGCTGGGGATGTGCCCAACTCCTCTGCAACTGGGACTGGTGCCAAGCAGGAGAGATTGGAGAAGGGGCTGCTTTGGAAGAAGCTGGGAATGCTCCCTGTCCAGAGTCATCCCGAGGGCTTGGTCTGGAAAAGGGCTTGGCCCTGGAGAGCTCAGGACCTAGGGGCTTCCTTCATTCCAATATCACTCTTGTACAACCCAGTACCACCTGTGCCTGCTCCGGCCCCTTCTCTGTCCTTGTGCTAATTGAACTCCAGCATCCCACTTTCTGCATGCTGCTGGGAAGCATAACAGAGACCCTGGGGTGCAGACTGCAACCTTGCAGACCCCTCCCAGGACACCAGCTCACCCCACATCTCGATCCAGCATGGTGCCTGGGTGGAAAGGGGGGAAGGCGTTGCCGTTCGGGGGCTCCTTTGGCGAGTACAGCTTGAATGACTTAGAGGAGCAGCCTGTAAAGAGAGGGGACACAGGTCAGTCAGGGGCACCCTGTGAGGAGATGCATCCTGCTGCTGCTGCTGCTATGAGGAGGAAGAAGAATGTAGGACCAGCCAAGCCCCTGTTACCACAATCCCATCCCTCCTCTGCTCCCCTCAGTGTCAGCCCAGCCCCTTCACCCCACACACAGCTCCAGGCCTCCCCTTTGCAGGATGGGACTCACAGCGTCAGGGCTGAACTCAGGATCAGCAGCCAGAAGAGCCCAGCCCCATGCAAGGGGTTCCCCACTGGTGCCCAGAGTTTGTCAGTTCTCAGCTGGCTGGGCTCTGGGGATGTGCCCAAGGGGGACAAGTCCAGCTCATTAGCCAGAGGGGGGGATAGCTGGACCCTATCCTCTCCATAGCCCTCCCTCCCGCGCTGCTCCTAATCCCACCAACCGACCCGGGAATCACACGGGATCTTTTCGCTGACCTTTCCATCGTCATGGTGACGGGTGAATAATCACCCGGAGGGACGGATGGCAGGTCCCCAGGCAGCCACCATCTGCCGCTCAGGCAGACCAGTGGCCACCCAGCTCCAGGCGGACAGAGAGATTCCACACACCAGCCCCCAGCTGTGATCAAAACACCCTAAAGCCTCATGCCCACTGCAGCACCAGAACGAAGGACAAGGAGCCCATGGAGGGCCATGGGGTGTGATGGGGTCTGCAAAGGAGCACACGATGTGTGCAAACCAGCAACATCCCTGAAAGCAACCTGGAGACAACCCCCCCGGCCTGCCAATGGGAGACAGGGAGGGATGCTTGTCGAATCCAGCCGTGCTGGGCACAGCCAGACCCATCCAGGCTCCCAAGGGGAAGCAGGGGGCTCCTACACTCACTAGCCCTCTCCCACCGCAGGGGCAGGTTCCCAGGAGCTGCAGCTGCCAGCACCCCTCCCGAGGCCTGCGGGAGCCCCGGCACACCCCGCGGGTGGCAGGACCCAGCACGCTGTGCCCGGGCGCTGCCGAGGCACGCGGCTCCCTCCCGGCAGGCAGGCGGGCAGACAGGCTGACCTGGATGGGGCGCAGCGGTGGGCGAGCTGCCAGGCAGCTCTGGCTCCACCGGCTCAGCCGGCCCCGCTGCGCACGGGCACGTCTCCCCCCGCCCTGCTGCAGGCAGGGGCCCCGAAGCCGGCCGCATCGGGGCGAAGGCGGGATCCCCATCGGCTGCCCGCCCGCACACAGCCCTGGGACGGGCACTTCCCAACGCCCACAAACTGCCAGGATTGCCAGCCAGTACTGGAGAAAGCAAGCCCAGCAGTGGAGGGAAGTGTCCCGGAGGCACCAGGCACGCTGCTGCCCATCTGGGCTCTGACGCACAGCTAGGCTGTGGGGAACAGTGCAGGGACAGGATGGGAGCAGCAGTTCAATTGTGACGGATACAGGAGGGGAGAAAAAAGCACCAAGGTCAAGGAAAGTGATGCCATCAGCACCAGGACCCGAGATGTCCAGCTTGTTGCAATCCATTAGCCAACACAGAAGAATGACCAGGGCATCACCTTCACCCCTATAAAGCCTCCTGGGACCCCAAGTCAGCAGTCACAAGGATTGCATACACTGCTGAGCAAGCAAGGGCTGGTCAAAAATAGAGGGGGTCACCTCCTCGGCATTAAATCCAACTTGCAACAGGGGAAATCTGCGTTTTACTCCTTGATTCTTGTTTTCTTGGAGCCTTTTCACCATGTTTCCCTGCAGCAGCTGAATCCAGCTTCTCTCCAACACCCACCAGGATGCACCAGTCCCATGGGGCTGGAGCCAGCCCAGCCACTCAGACATGGCTCACAGCTCCAGCTCCTGCCCGCCTGCAGTGAGGGTAAGTGGGGCACGACACAATTTCTCATACAGCTGCTAACAACACTGGCCCCTTGCTCTTACCTAATGTTTTCATAAAAAAAATTTTAAAAGGGAGGTCGATGCTGGTCGGTCGGTGCTGTGGGGGAATTTTTGCTTTCTGCTTTATCCGCATCAACTTGTACCTAATGGAAATGATAATTCAACCCAAACTGTACTGGAAACAGAGCATTTCCATTTCCTCCGCACTTTCAGCAAACAACACAACGTTGAAGGCACTCAATGCTTAGGAAACTTCCCAAAAGTGTGTCTTCTGTTGAAAACAAACTGATTCATTAGGCAGAGACAGCAGTGGCTGGAGAACTGCTTGTTTCTGGTCACCCTGTCCTTGGGGAGGAGAAAAAAATTGGGCCCAGCACGTCTCATCCTTTAATTCTTTGTTTTTATTCACTGATGAGAGATGGGAGGATTAAGTTCCCAAGGCTTCTTGCTGTCCTCAGTCCCCATCTTTTTTCTCAGGGAGCAGAAAGGTTTCCTGGGGTGGGGAGACCAGGGAGACACATCACTCTCCATTCATTTGGCTTCTCCTGCTCCTCCCTAGCTCCCTGTTCCCGGAGGTGGGACAGTAGATAAGCCAGGCCACCACTCCTACCCAAGCATCCATTTCCATCCTGGGCCTTCCCTAGCAGGTTAATATGGACATGACCTGCTTTTGGAGCTCCACTGAGTGACCTATCTCAGGATCTAGAGGAATGGAGTCTGTGACCTCAGTAACACTGGCATCCTGACCAAGCGTTATTTTTAATGCAGTGTAAAATATGTCACTGGATTCAGTGGTTTAAAACAACGCTAACAATAGCCTTAGGATTTGATACAGGCTGTCCAAATTCTACATTCACTGTACACACTTTACATGAAATAACATATATACTTTAAAGCAGCAGCAAACTAACTTTTGTTCACACAAGGGTCATGCTGCCTGGTCTGGGAGATCCCTCCATCACCACCTCTCCCCTTCATGCTGCTCCAGCTGCCTGTAAGCCCTGTCCAGCTGGATGAAGTGACCCAGAGCTCCACGATGTGGCCCTTCCCAAGTCAAGCCCAGTGCTTGGCCCCTGCTGGTGTTTCCACATGACCCTGCTCTGCTTCCTGCTTTGAGCACAGAGGATCTGGGCAGGCTTGGTGCAGACAGGGACGCTGCCCGGTGGCTGAGCATGTGATGCCCCTGTGGACCCTGAGCCAACAGCAGATGCTTCCAATGGCTATCCCCTGGTGCTAGCTCAGCACTGCAAAAACATTCAGCATGGGGAAAAATCAGGCTGATGCTGCAGCTGGTGAGCTACTGGTCCAGGCAGGTCTGGGCAGACAGCACAGGTGGGCAGCCTCACAGCTCCTCCTCAGCACAGAGGTGCAGGAGAAGGGAACCCCGTGATGTCCTGCCTCAGCATCCTCTGGCAAGGCCAGGTCCTCAGTCGTGGGCAGGACGGACCTACCACAAAAGCTTGGGCAAGTAAACAGCTCCAGGAAGGCAGGTGCCCAGGGAGGGAAAGCAGGTGCTCTACCCATGACTCACGTACAGCCCAGCACTGCCCAACCCTCCACGTCTTCTCCTCTGTGTTCCCAGCCTGCGAGCTATCAGCCCCATGGGGAAAGCTCTTCTAGCGCATTTTCCAGTGGGTTTGCTAGAGCAGGAATGACTCAAACCCTACCCAAGCCCCCAGAACTGGGAAACATCAGGATTCCCAAAGCACCAAAAGCACGGTGGGCACTTTGCAGAGCCAACATGGACAGGAGGCAGTAGGACACAGTGAGCTGAGACCAGCGCCAGCTGCCTGCCTGTTCCTGCAGAACAGGAAGAAAAGCCCCTGCTTGAACTCTTTTCACTTCAGCTTGCCTGTAAAGAGCAAAGAACTGCTGAGGACAAAGGCAAAGCAGCGTCAACATCTCACTCCTACACCTGTGGCCATTGGTAGGAATCAGTGCCCCCCATTCCAGAGAGGAGCCAACCCCAGCTGGGCAGCCAGTGTTGCTCTGTGCAAGCAGCAAAGCTCAGCAACAAGGCAGAGGCTAAAAACGTAAATGATAAAAATAAATGAAGAAGCGGGGCTTGAAAGGGGCCACAGGGTTACAGCTCAGCCAGGGAGCATCCTGCTCCTCCCAGCAGCCCGGGAAGAAGAGAGGCCAGCCTTCACTAAAGGCAGCCAATGCTTCCCAGCATGCTCTGTGCCTGCTTCCTGGCTGCCTAACGAGGCTTTAAAGTGTAAATAGCGGCATTGTTTCACAGGGCTGCCTCGCTGGGGTGTGGGAGCGGTGATAGTGGCAAGAAGTACATCTTCCCAGTCCCACTGGCATGTCTGGTGGGAGGGTGCTATCCAGGAGGCTGCTATCTGGGGCTGGGTGCAGGGCAGCGACTCAAATAATTCACGTGGTTCTACCCAGTGACAGTGCCTGGTGCCCAGGAAGTTGGCAAGGCTGGGAGGCAAACACGGAGAAGTATTCAGAGTGACTGGGACAGGCAGAGGCACATGGAGCAGTCCCCGGTCTGCCCCCACAAGCCTGCCTTCACCTCTTCTTTCTCCTCTTCTCTGGAGGAGGGGGAATGGAGCAAAGCCAATTGCAAACCCTGATGCTGCTATTAAACACACAGGAACCCAGGCAGCACACACAGAGGCATGACCTGAGACATTATCAGCGACAGTCTCAACTTGCAGCAAGCCCACTTGCTTTGAAAATGCAGAACTGATGCAGCTGAAGCTCCCAGGAGGCCGGGCTGTGTAGGGAAGACGAGATGCCACTTTTGGAGAAGACCACGTGCCATGGACTCAGCAGCATCCAGAGTCTGAACCCGGCCAGCACATCGCCTGGCCCTGACCCATACAGAGGCAAAACCTGCATCGCCACCTGCCCTGCTGTGTGCAGGGATTACCCTCTCACTTTTCCCAAGCTACATATCTGAGTCAGCCATGGAGCTTATCTGGACCACAAGCTGCTTCCCCGCCTGTACCACGTGGTTGTGCACAGTGTCCCAGCTCCAGGTCACATCCTGCAGTGTTAGTGCAAAAGTCCCCCACGGCAGCACACAAAGCACCTGGACCCAGGGGTGCTCCTCTCTATAGGCTGCCTCACAAACTCAGGGGGACAGCCAGAGAAGCAATAATTACTTGCAGCTAGTTATCACAAAGTG